CATGTAAGGGCCTTGTATGCCATATTTTTGACATGCGCATTCCATGGTTCTGGAAGCAAATTTGGCATGGCTCCATATCAGGAAATATTTGTCTCATAGCGGTTAGTAACCCTGCCAAGTTTGATGCTTTTATCAAAAAACGAACAATTTTGTCCCTTAACAGCTGGACTATGTAAGCAGATATACATGTAACTACGTATTTAACTAATCTTTTTCTTGCTGCTGTGTTGTTTGTAAACTTTTTCTTTGAGTCATTCTCTTTTGATAGAGTACAGTTAGTTTCAGGCATCACCAAAACTGTGTTACTGGTGACTGATTTTGGTACTGAGTTGAATGGTCCTGTTGATACATAGTGTAATTCATCTGTGTGACCTTTATAACATTGATTTCTGCAATAAGTGGATTGAATTCTGTCTACAACAGCTGGAATAATGTTACACCTTGTTGTGATAAATTTGTTAAATATTCTATTCTGGAATTCTCAATTTGCTTTCAATAAACGTCATGGGATGTTCTCTAAGATAATGAACAAACATCTAGAGCTCTAATATTCCAATGAAATGTAGGATCACCATACATCTCGAAAACAAACATTCATCACCACCACCAGGAATTCTGGATGGTTCCCTGTCTCTAGAATGCAAAAGTCAATTGATTTCAATTGTTTACAAACTATGATCATTATTTAAATCTAACATATCACAGTTATCAGAAATAGTTGTTTCATGTCTTTCCCAAGTACAGCACAGCTTTCATATTGATAGTTTATGGTCGCTCGAAAGGCTTAATTATGAAACGTGGGAGCACAATAATTCCTCCCAAGAGGCTCAATTATCCAAGATCGGGCCCAATATTCCTCTAAAGAAACCCAGTTTTCCTCATACAAGGCTAAAGGTACTTCTAAAATTATGGAGCTTCGGCAAAGGTTGTTTATTTAAAATGCGCATCGACAAATCAATACCCAATATCATAGAAATATGAGGTTTATCACGACCTTAAGTCTCAAGCAACCTTTCATCCAGTCAGTTGGAAACAAAAATATGAAAGCTAAGAGAAGTAAATGTTGTAAAATATTAAAAAACTTACCTCAATTTCAAAGAATACTGATCAAGGATCTTCGTTTGCCATCAATGACTATCAGCAAATCATTGTTGATACGAATTGTTTGCAAGAGACCGCAAGATGGATATTTGTTGTGCTGATTGGCTCCAAAGTACATTCTACTCTTACTTACTTATTTTGGAAAACTCAGACGATGGCAATAGTGATTGCTGCGCAAGGCCAGTAGTCACAAAAACTGGATCATTGGATAACGCAATGTGAGAGTTTTCATTTGTAGCCATCCTGGTTTATGAGCCATCATACCATGCTCTTCAAATATGGTTAAAGCATATCCATGATTTTTTGGGGCATTTTTATTTTTATTTTAGTCTAGTTTTCTATATTTCAGGGACGTTTTTAATAAAACAATTATTCCACTTGCACTTGTTGAATATGAGAAGATTATAGCAAACTCAGCGCTACACGCCTTTTTGGCTATCTACCATTAGCCTGCAGTACAGGCAGATTAGCAGGTTCTAGTGCGATACATGAGCACGTGAAGTGCGAGAACGAACACAAAGCGTGAGGCAAGAAAAATCCGCCTGTAGTCACACCATTGTTTATGCTCTACTGCCCCCTTGAAATGATTGGCATGAAAGAATGAGGGAGAACAAAGCAATTCAATTTACTGGCGTGAAAAAATGTCTCAAATAACCAATTTACAAATGTATACATGATGCAAAACAGTCAACAGACGTGAACATCTAAATTTAGCTAAATTTAAATCATGTTTTGCCAAAACGAACAAAGGAGGTATAAACCTAAACATCAAGCTCAAGACACGAAAAGCTCGAACAAATTCAGGATGGAAGGAACATAACTTTGACGACAAGAACAGATCTCCAAGACTACAGTAGTCTCTGGCGACACCGGACAAAGCTAAATATGATCCGTGGTGAAAAGCCACATAGCTTAACACAGGTTTAATCTAACAACCAGGCATGGCATCACAATATAGAATGCAAGTAATCAACATTGATGCACACCGACTTTGTCTCTCCAGAGCGAATAATTTAAGAGATACATTTCTGCAATAAACACACATTTCTGCAATAGAAATGAAGCAAGAAAAACCACACTACTCGGCACATGGCAAATTACAGAGGTATCAAGCTCTCCAAAGCGATAGATAACAGCTGAAACTATGCAGAGTTCTGACCTCTAACAGTCTATTGGCTCCACTCTACTTTTAAAAAAATCATCTTGATAACACAACATTAAGTGCCCTTCAAAAACAAGTGAAGAGCAAAATAAAAGGTTAAGAGGCTGGAATTTATGGGAGAACGGCAAATGTAGAAATGTCACGAGCAGTAGGAGTCCGTGTAGGCCTGTCACCCGAGTCAAACACATTTTGCTTTTTCTCATTTCTGACGTCACGTGGCTTAAAGCAACCAATCAACAAAAACCGTTCGCCAGGCGAACGGTTGGAAGAGGATAAACAATGGTGTGAATACAGGCGGATTTTTCTCGCCTCGCGCTTTGCGGTCGTTCTCGCGCTTCACGCATGCTCGTGTATCGCGCTAGAGCCCGCTAATCCACCTGTATTGCAGGCTAATCTACCATCTCATATCCAGCACATGCTTGTGGAATAACTGTTAAATAGTCCCTCTTTGAATTTTCTCACAAATTTTCATGGACTTTTGACCTGTTTATTTTTGTTGCATATAGTTTTTTATCACCATACTGAATCTCTTGTAAATGATGCTTCTCTCTTTTTGTTTATCTAAAATGGGGTATCCCTTTATTCATGATTTATTAAAACTGAGCATTCAGAAAGCACAAAATAAAACAATTGAGAATTAATTCACCACACTCTTATCGTATTTTACCCATTACATTAAAACACGCGAAACCATTGGTTTTGCTGGCCAATCTGTACTGGGCTATCTTAACCACTTCTAAAATCACTCATTTCACAATTGTAACTATGTGTGGGTTAATTAAATAATTATTGTATTAATAAAAGAATTTGTTATCAGATGACACCATTAAGATAGGTAAACTGGACAGTACTCCATCTGCAATATATCTATATATCGAGTACCTCTTTCTCTAGTTCCTCTATTCTTTTCTCCTTCTCTTCTAATAATTCTTCCTCTACATGTCTCTGAACAAATCATTGGCAAAGGCAGCATTTAATAATTTTATACAAACAATAACCTCTACTTCTGGAAAAAAAGATAACATTAGTGTGTAGTAAGTGCTCAGAGGAAACTGTGAGCTTTGAAGAACAAAAATCCCAGCCTCATGATTTGTAAAACAAGGTTTTTGTTTCCCTTCAAGCATGCTTATGCAAAGCTGCTCTTTTTGGAAGAACTCCTTTCCAAGCCGGTGAAGAGAAAATATTTGCAAATTTAATCAGGGTGCAATAGGTGACAGATTCCAACCAAGCCTGGCACACAAGGAAATTAAAATACTTGAGCAAAAATAAAATCCAGATATCTAAAAGCATAAATTGCAATATATAGAAAGCTCTTCAATATAAACTGATAATTTGAGCTCACATTAATTTTCTTACATTGACACAATCTGTTACAACGGGAGCCTTAGATTCTTGTTGGACTTCAAAGCTGCGGAGCTGCAGAAGAAGCAAATACATTTTAATTTCTAATGAGAAGACCATATCTCATGACAAGGGTAGAACATTGAGTTACAGTGTAAGCCTATGACACAGCTAATGCGGCTTTAACAAACCCAAAAACCGGTATACTACAGATGGCAAACATTTCAAAATACTGAAAGTTCCAGATTTTCATGAAATTGGTGACCCTCAGGAAAAAGCAATAAAATTTCAAAGCTGTTAACAAATCCCAAAGCTACCAACTCTCCAAAAGTAATGATGCCATGAAAGGAATGACCTCAAACCTGAAAACAATGAAATACATAGGCAACAGACTGTACAATGTACATAATCCTAAATAAACTGATTGGATGTTTGCTTCAGGAGACTGTTATTCAAAGGGAAAATGTTTGGCTTTTTTCTGAAGTATAACTTGAAATAATTAGTTACATTAAATAAGTTTTAACCTCTTTATTTCTTGATATGACTTTGTCACAAAATTATATTCTGCACAAGGATCAATCTACATATTGTTTTAATGTAGTAAAAAAGTAGGAACCCCACCCTGAAAGTCAATTTGCAACCCTACAAAAATAATTGCCATATGTCAGTACCTTTCCACATCCAAATTTAACAAGGTCTGATGCCATTAGAACTTTACGGGTTTTTGTATGGTAAGAGTTGGACTAGAGGACCGTGTTTCTTAAGCATCTGCAAGTGACAACCATGTGAAAGCACTGGTAATGATGTGCCATTGATATGAGCCAAAGAACCAACACCACAATTTTTAATGTAGTTGTAGCAGTTTAGCGCCACAGGAATTGTGTCCAGCCAAAATGTCAACAAACAGGAGGGTTAGGTGTTTTGTTATTTAAGCACAGACCTGTCGGAACTGAGGAAAATCTTCACTTCTCAGATATGTTACCAATTGTGACCAATTTGTGTATCAAAATCTGAATTACAATGT